CGACAAGTTGCGTTTTTTTTTTTTTTCTCGCTCTTTTTCAGCAAATCACGCATTTTTTGAGAGTTTTCTCGATTTTTCGATATTTAGAGCATTTAAAAAAAGGAGGAAGTCAAGAAATCTTTTATTCAACACTGAGATAACAGGGGAGAGAAAATGACAACAAATTCAAGAAAATTAACAAAAAAAGCTTGTGTTCATGCATCAAACACTTCAAGTCTCGCCTGTGTCGAATCGATCTTTTTCTTTGAGAATCATCAACTTTTCCAGCATTTTTAAGTCCAGGCTCTGACGATTTGGTGTGTACAAGTTTTTTATGATTGAAAAAGATCTTTCTACATCTGCTTCCGAAGCTTGAATCGCATGAACTTTTCGGGCGATTTCGTGCAAAATTGGATAGGAGCTTTTTGCCAGAGGCCAAAATTTCGATGCAGGTATACTTCTGGTGTCTCTCTCGTATTGCTGCTGTTCTTGATGAAGCGAACTGCTTTTTGGGGCGCTTGATCCGCCCAGAGTACGTTGAAGGAAAGTGAGATGACGTGCAGGTGGTTGGCTTTGTGGTGGCGCCTGATATCTCATTTCCTCAAAACTTTTTCCCAAATCGTCCAGAAGCTTCTGAGCATCGTTCACGATATCAATCGGAATCTGAAATTTACACACTAGTTCATGTTACAGTGTTCGTCGTTTTCTTTAGTACCTGATGCCGATCATATCTCAATTGTAACTCATGTAAACAAAAACCACTCGCATGTTTATCAGTGCATTTTTTCTGAAAAAGAACTAATTTTTTCAACAAAAAAAAATTTCAACTAGCATAAAAACCGCCGAATCCTTCCCTTTTGTTCTTTATCACTATTTCACAATCGGTTTTGTTGGGATCAATGAACCATTGAGGCATCTGAATTGTGTCTGAAATTGAATAACGGTTATAACAAATGAATAAATCGGCTTAAACCGACCATCACTGGCGTTCGAAATGTTCATGTCGCCACAGATCGATGGAAAAATCGAGAAAACTCTCGAAAAATGCGTGATTTGCTGAAAAAGAGCGAGAAAAAACAAAAAATTAAAAAAAAATACGCAACTTGTCGTAAAATATGCGACTTGCTGACCGTAGTCACATTTGCGAGGCCGGCCGAGGCCTCGCGAGGCTTTTTCTCAATGGAGCGCGCCGAGGCCTTTTTTCTTCGGCCGAGGCATTTTCGAGGCCGGCCGAGGCCCGGCCGCCGTTTTGGACAGCCCTGTTTTTAACGATACGAGGATGTAAGAACCGGTCGAAAAGACCATTATCTATTTTTTCCTCAAACTCTCATGAAATCTTTTTTTTCTTTGAAAACTTTTGAAATTAATCAAAAAGTGTCATATAGTGCCTAGGGGGGGGCAAACTTGGAATCGAAAATTAGTTTCAAAAAATGCAAAAAAAGTTTTACCACAGTGGGGGTCGAACCAGCATAATCAATCCTAATGAGTCACCCTCTTACCACAACACCACACAACCGATATTTTCATCTCACGCGGAATTGGTAGAGGAGGGAAGGGGAAGCCGAAATCACCAGCCACCGAAATCGGCCCAAATTTTCAAACAAAGTTTTTCGGCCTAGGAGTGAGAATGGGCTAAAAATTTTATTGTCATCGTATAGAGCATGTCTTAAACTATAAGTATGCAGATTTTGAGCAAATTCTCAACCGTTGTCTAAAAAACCTTCCTTGTAAGTTATTGACCTTACCTTTTTTATTTTTAAAATAAATAAATCAACTCAGAACTAATGGAAACCTTGATAGTAAAACATAGCTTGAAATTAACTTTTGAGAAAAAAATCAAGGAATGAAAATTTTATTGAAAACTCTCAACAACAGTAAGATTATGTTCACTTTGAAATTTCAGCGCCCGCCAATGTGAAGGATAGAAATCGCTAATGTTCATTTCACCGGCTTTCTGAAAGAAATGTTTTTGAAATTTTCGAAAATTGAGAACTCACATAAACGCGATCATCTACATATCGAATGTCCATATGATACACGTTGTCTCCTTTCGAAAAATATCCCATCCACCATCCAAACGTTGATGAGGGAGCACTTATCAAAACCACATCACAATGATATTTAGAATAAACCAAATCTGCTGTAGGCGAGTTTTTGGAGATAAAGTGAGTAGCCTGAAAAATTACATTTCAAATTTTTCAGATTTTCAGAATTTCAGAATCTCAGACTTTCAGAATCTCGAAGTTTCAGAATTCCAAAATCCCAGAATCACAGAATTTTAGAATTTCAGAATATCAGAATTTCAGAACTTGAGAATCCCAGAATCTTGGAAACTCAGAAGTTCAGAATTTCAGAATTTCAGAACCTTAGAATTTCAGAATCTCAGAATCTCAGAATCTTAGAAATTCAGATCAAAATCTCACTCCTTCTTGATTCTCATCCGTGGAAAGTAGAGATCCCTGGAAAACTTTTTTCATAAATTTCACATCATCCCCAAAAAGTACAGTTTTCCGTTTTTTGTTTCCGACGGTTTCTGGAAAAAATTTTGATTTCCTTTTTCGACTTTGACGATTTTTTAAGAATACCATTGTCATTCAAAAATTTCAACGCATTCCTAACAAAAACCGGGTCTGATCCATAGAATCCCACTTCCAAGAAATCACCTCTTCGCGTGTGGATACATGTACTGAATAAAAGTATTTTCAAAATGAAAAAATATCATAATTTGACTTTTTTCAGTAAAAAATATTTAATTTTGCTGTACTGAAAAAGAAGTTTAGAACAGTTCGATTTGTTTTAAAATTCAAAGTATACTAATCAAAAATTGAGCTTCACTTTTTTGATTGACAACTTTAGCTGAATTAAATTCTGAAGAAATGTGCCAATTGTATCAAAAAAAACGTTCCAAAAATGCCATTGGGAACTTTGAAACCGCCTATCTTGTTTTATTTAATTTCTACAAAAAAGTTGCCAATTGCAAAAATGAAGCGTTTTTTTTTGTTTAGTATACTTTGAATTTTTCAGACAAATCGAAAATCTGAAATTCTTTTTCAGCACTCTAAAGATGACTATTTTCTGCAAAATTCAAAATTTGTTTTTAGTTTTGTACGGTACTGTATTGTCTTTTTTTCAAACTTACATATGTGTCTCCGCATCGGAATGTGGCAAATTTCCGAAATTCGAATTTTCCGAGGAATTCGACAAATAAGTGCGAAGTTCTGATCGCATATCGGGAAAGTATTTCCAACTCTGGAAAAAAGAAAATTTGGAAAATTATATTTTCGTATTTTCACAAAATTAAATTCTCATCATATTATCACAAATTTCTAGAATGTTGAAAATTGAATTCGAAATCTTTTAAAAGTTTAACTTTCGAGACTGTTAGAATTTCACCTTTTTTCGCATTTACATTTCTCTACACCGGTTCTCAATGGGCGGTTCTAAAGCGTGCGGTTTCAAATTTCCCGGTCCAACCATATTACTTAGTTTTTCAGACATTTTCACAAAACAGGTGAAAAATGTTGTCCTGATATTTAAGTTTTTCTTCGATTTTTTTCTCAAACCGAGACAAATTTTCTCTTCCCAAAGGGTTCAATTAGTGTAAGTTCGATTTTCGGTTGAGAAATTTTTGGCTCTGACAATCTGACAAATTCGGCATTTCGCCAGAATTTAGTGAATAACAAATTATTTTTCCAAGCATTTCATTCTACTTGTTTTTGTCAAATTTGAATATTTCAATCAGACTTGAATCAAAATGTCTCTTCTAACATTTCTCATTTCGTTCTCCTACTCTCTGCCATCGATTATTCTGTATTTTTTGACAATTTACATAATTTTGAAACATCGAAAATATTTCAATTCCTCATTTTTCATTTTATACATTTTTGATGGAATTATGAATATTTTTACATTTCTAAACCTATTTTATATGATGCGATTGAGCAGTATTACTTGTGAAAATTGTCTGTTTTCGTTTTTGTACAAAATTGCTGGTGAGTTTCAGAAAATATTTAAAAATTGATTTTAACGAAAACAATGGAAGTTTTAGACGACTACGTTCCGATGACTTTTCTAATGGCAATGACTTTTCATATGGCTTATGTACAGTACTCCATTACGGCACTTATTTCGTTTAATCGATTGCCAGTTCTTTGGAATTACACCATTATGGAACCGGTACGAAAAAAAACTGACCATTTCGAATTTGAGTCTTTTAGAACCGATCTAAGAATCTAAGAATCTAAGAATGTTTTTAAAATGTTTGGAATAGTCAGCATGTTTTCAAAAACTTTCAAAAAAATTTAACTCCTAAATTTTGGAAAATTCTGAATTTCAAACCATTGAATCCTCAGAATTGCGAAATCTCAGAATAAAAAAATCTATAAGATGAATCCTTAAACAAATTGGTGATCATTTTTAGTGCAAAACGGCAGGTGTTTCTAATATACCTGCAAAGTTTCCAGAATACTTTTTTCTGAACTATAATTTCCAGATTTGGAAAAAATTCGCCTGGCTCATCATCCTAATCGTCTTCGCACTTCCATTCCTCGACACTTATCGTTGCTTTTCTTATAAAACTGAAATTAACTATGATAACGAAACAAACCATTATCAATTTCTAAGTCCTATGGTAATTCAAAATTTCGAAAAAATATTTTAACTAAAGATATATTTTTTCAGCCTGTCACATTAGGATTTCAATATCTTCTTCCGACAATGGTGATAATCACGTTATTATCCGTTTTCATTAATATTATCAGCCTAACGACAATTACATGTGCAGTTCAACTTTTGGGATGCTCATTGAGTGTAGCCAGAGTGTTTTTGGCATCTAATCCAATCGTAAAATCACTATCTCCACTTATACCATTTGTTAGTGATGGCTTAACACTTGTGCAACCTTGGTTGTTGGTATTTTTCAGTAAAGCGGTAATTCGAAAACCTACAGTACCCCAAGAAAAATATATTTAACAGTTGGATTTTCAGATGCGCAATAAATTGATTGGAATGTTCAGAACAAGGACTTCTTCAGTCAACATTCTACAGTAACAGTTCGAACAATTGCTGCCTAGTGTAATGAAAGTACAAAATTAGGGAAAATGTTTTTTTTTGTCAAAAATAAATTTTTGCCTATTCAATCATGTCTAGCAAAAAAGCCATACTTTTTTCATTTTCAGAGAGAAACGACAACTCACCTGATACAGCCATCCACTCAAATGTAGATATTCATTTTTAATCAATTCCAATCTCATTGGATTATCAAAAGTGCAGCATACACCTTTTTGAAATGTGGTATTTCGTATTGTTGATGGGAGCTGAAAAATGTAAATTAAAATTTTCTTATCAAAAAGTTATATCATAAAGTACATCGAATTTTTCTTTAATGGTCCCCAATCATTTTGAGGAAGATCAAGGGTTCTGGATGTCCATGGCTAAGATTTCAGCTACAAAAAGTTTAGATAAAGGGCCCTTACGGGCCTGCTGGCCACTAATATTTCAAAATTATAACTTACACTTCCATTTATGATCAAAAACTTGTCCACCAATCCCGGAATCGTAATCTTTCCCCGGTTCAGCATTTTCAAATGATGTCCATTTTCAATGAAAAACGTTGGACTTCGATTGAGCTGTTTAGCCAAACCATACAACGCGGCAAATTCAAAAATATGATTTCCAAGTCCACAAATCGATGCCAAATTGCTTGACAAGTAATTTTGACCGGTGTTAAACTCAAGATCCGCTGGCGGTAAAGGTATCCTAAACACATTGTTTGTTGTTATTTTTTGCAGAAGTTAAAATTACCATAAATAAGCCATTGGATCATAAGTCATATAATAATAAACAGAAACTATGAGTATTGCCCATGTTCCAGGAAATTTCAAAACTTTTGAAAAATAAAAATAGTAGACGTTTTTTGAAGAACAAGGGTAATGGGAAGTGGATCTCATATTGATACAAGTATACCCAAATAATAAATGTGTAAAAGAACGCCTGTATTAGACTTAATGACCTTATTTTTTTCGGTCAGATCCGAAATGGAGATATGAAGGGAAATTGAAAAGGGAGGGGTTTTTAGGAGGAAAGGGACTGGAATATTTGAGACGACCTGCCTATAGAGATGGAAGATAAAAACTTGGAGGAGCGGTGTGAATAAATTGAATTGAAATTGAAACAATAGACAGAAGAAATTCTCATTAGGATAAGGCGTTTGGTCCAAAGAGAATTTCTAGTAAATTCTGAAGTTCTTAAATATTCAAGGTTTTAAATCTTCCGAAAATTGTCAAAAACCAAAAATAAAAGGCACTGTTCTAGAATCACGGAACGAAAAAAAAATCACGGAACGAAAAATCACGGAACGAAAAAATCACGGAACGAAAATTTTGGGTTATCCATAAAATTGCTATCTTCTTCACTTTGACAAGTAGTATCCGTAATACTAACTTTGACATTAATTTCACTTTGTCCAATGCCCAAAAGTATACTAAAAAAGGGTATATTAAATTTTTAAGATACGCTAGTTAACAGGTTACATAAGACCTTTAGAACATCTGAAAATTTAGTTCAAGGCAACATCGAGCAGTTGTTTAGGTTTCTGACATTTTTGAGTGTTCCAGATAAAGGGAACATGGCGTTTCAGCCTAAGCCTGTGATCGAAAATATCTTCCTCAATCCAAAAATATCATCCAATTTTTGAAAAATGAAAAATCCGAGGAGAGCAATTTCATGCCGAGATTTTCTCTCAATTTGGCCCAAGACCATTTTTTTCCGGACCAAGTTTTTGTTCCAAGAAGACTAATTTTGAATTAGAAAATATTTTTCAGTTATAGGCTTAGGCTGAAACACCATGTTTCCTTCATGTGGGACATCCGAAAAATGGCGGCAAGTTCAATATAACTGCTCGTTGCAGCCTCGAATCTTTTTCACAGATATACCCGATCATCTGGGAAATGTCCTATGTAACTTATTAACTATGTACCCTACCAACTAGTGTATTTTCCGAACTTAATATACCAATTTTCGGGTATGGGTTTGGATACTGAGCAAAGAAAAAGTAATGTCGAAGTTAGATTCAGGATAGTACGTGAATGAAGATTGTATCAATTTTTGGACAACTTAAAATTTACGTCCCGTGATTTTTAGGTTCCGTGATTTTTTCGTTCCGTGATTCTAGAGCAGTGCCGCAAAATTGATAATTTTTAGGAAGACTAAATTTCCCGAAAACTCAAAAATTTTCAGAATTTTCAGAAATTTAGAAATTTTGGGGCTCTAGTATGAAATTCTGGTCCTTAAAAAAAATTCTGGTCCTTAGAAAAAATTCTGGTCCTTAAAAAAAATTCTGGTCCTTAAAAAAAATTCTGGTCCTTAAAAAAAATTTTGGTCCTTAAAAAAAGTTCTGGTCCTTAAAAAATTCTGGTCCTTAAAAAAAATTCTGGTCCTTAAAAAAAAATTCTGGTCCTTAAAAAAAATTCTGGTCCTTAAAGAAAGATGTGGGTATTTGAATAGCTTTCATGTTTTTGTTTGAAAATTTGGTTAGATTGAAACGTTTATTTATTCCAATCATGTTTTCAATAGTTTTGATGTTTTAAAAATAATTTTTTTTGTAATTTTGATTTTTATTCAGAAGAAGGTATAAGACTAAAAGGTGTGGCATATAAGAATTAGAGAGGATAAATAGTTCAGAACACAAAAAAAGAATATCGGTTGCAACAAGATGATCTTATCCGCGTCCTTTGAACTTCCTTCGGCCGGTGAACGTGGATTTTAGAGTAGTGGTTGTGAATCTTGGAGTAATGGTAGTCGATCTTGGAGTGGTGGTAGTGGGCCGCCCGCGTCTTCTTCTATCATTCCGAGTCTTCTGAGTGGTGATGGTTGTTTGTCTCGTTTCAGGGGCAGACGTCGTCCGTTTCGTACGAGGTTCTGTCGTGGTTCGTCTCGACTGATGGGAAGTTGTTCGTCTTGTTCTCATGGTGGTCGTGGTCCTCATGGTTGCTGTGGTTGTGATGGTGGTTGTAGGATCAGCTTTTCGACTTTGTGTCTTCTTCCGAGGTTTTCGAGTTTTGGTCGTCGTTTGCCTTGGTGTAGTTGACGAAATTGGTCTGTTGGTTTTGATAATCATTTCTGGCTTAGAAGAGGTGGTGGTTCTCATTGTAGAAGCGGTAGAAGAACTTCGACGTTCGTTTCTATTTCGATTCAAACGAGCAGCCATTGTGGTTTGTCTTGTTGAAAATGTAAAGGCGCGATTGTTTCTTTCATTTCGTTGTTTGGGAGCAAATGAAACTCTATCAGAATCGAACTGTTTTCTTTTTCTGAAGATTTTCGTGGTCGGTGCTTCAGTCAATTGATCTTCCTCTTCCTGTTCATCTTCGTACTCATCTTCCTGATGATCCTCTTTTTGTCTCTCATCCTCGCCTTCTCCCTCCTGCTCTCCGTTTTGCTCTTCTTCCTGCTCTCTCTC